CTTGGAAGCCCTCTTGGGAACCATTCGACTAAGAATTTTCCAGGGCGTATATTTTCAAATACATACACAAATATCAAAACAGTTACTCCCACACACACAGATACCAAGGTTTATTTGCTTGCTTGCTGTCAAGTTGCAGTTGATTTATGGTGACCCTGTAGGGATTTCAAGGCAAGAGGTGTTCAAAGGTGGTTTGCCATTGCCTGCCTCTGCATAGTAACCCCGGTATTCCTTGGTGATCTCCCCCAAATATTGACCAAGACCGACCCTGCTTAGCTTCTGAGATATGATGAGATCAGGCTGGCCTTGGTCATCCAAGTTCAGGGCAAACACCATAATGGGAAATCCTATTTTCTGCTGCTGGTTCATAATTACATAAACAGTAAACCTGGGGACCAAAAACAAAGATACTGGGTACATACCAGAACAGAAGGCCATTGTTTTTATGCTCTGCTTATGGATTTTATGCTCTGCTGATGGATTTCCTGGAAGGATCCGGTTGGCAGTGGTGGAAAACAGGATACTGGGCTAAATGGACCCTTGGTGTGATCCAGAAGGACTCTTCTCGTGTTCCTATAAACAGTTGGGGATTTTCTCAAACCGATTGCTACCCTGAGTCTTTTGAATAAGACAGGGTAATTAATGATCTAAAAAAACAAGTAAATAAAGTTCTCATGGGCCTGGGGTCTCTCTTCTCCTCTCCTCAAATGCCATCTTTATGAAATGCCCCATGATTCGGTCTTGAATAAGAAACCGCTATTTAATATACTTTAACTCTCTTTTAACAAGATGTTAAGCGGGTGCCTGTACTTGCAGCCATCATCCTGTGCAAATTAATTGCTGATTAATTTATTTTAAAACATATTTACGAAGGGAAGCCGAATGTATAAATCTATTACAGAGTGCTTAACCTCAATAAATAAGCCTTAAATAATTCAGCGACGACTGGCTTAACATACAGTAACTCTCCCATTATATCTGCATTAAATCCTTAGAGGAGATAGTTAATTTCAAGCATGACCAAATTATCCACAACGTGACAATTAAACATTCACTCTGGGTTGCAGATCTGCCACGAAATTCCATCCTTCACAGACAGCCACACTTCAGGGATCAGAACTGTCAGGGAAACTGACAAACGGACATGATTGACACCTGCAAACTTGGGATCTGATTTTTCCCCCCTTCTCTCTGTTTCCCAAAGCCCATCCTGTGATGAGGATTTTATACCACCTCCCGCCAGGGGGAAGAAAAAGAAGAAGAAATCAAGGAAGAAGAGGAGGAGGTAAGTGTAACACCAGTAGGTTTGCTTCGCTCCCATTACAAGCAGAGGGAGAAATCCCGATTCCCCTTGGGGTGGAAATAAAAGATGAACAGAGCTTAATTGTTTTGAACTCAAAAGGCAGCAACAAACCCCACCCTGGGCACCAGTTAGCAATTGCATTTACTGTTGAGAAAGTACTAGAGTTCTTTAAAATTTGGCAAATGTTTCAATTTACATCTGTAACGTATCGAACAGCAAATTTCACATTTGCAGTTTTCCATTCAGATTGATCCGAAGCCGAGTTGCACCCTTCTAAGCTCATTGACTTCAGTGGGTTTAAAGGTAAAGGTTCCCTTGCTCGAAAGCCAGTCGAGCCTGACTCTAGGGTTGTGGTGCTCATCTCCGTTTCAAAGCTGAAGAGCTAGCGCTGTCCGAAGACATTTCCGTGGTCATGTGGCCGGCATGACTAAACACCAAGGCGCATGGAACGCTGTTACCTTCCAACCAAAGTGGTGCCTATTTATCTACTTGCAATTTCTTGCTTTCGAACTGCTGGGTTGGCAGGAGCTGGAACTAGAGACGGGAGCTCACTCCGTCATGCATCACACTCAGGTCTCGAACTGGTTAACCAGTGGGTTTAGACAGGCCTAATTGTGCTTAAGATTGCATTTATGAGGACTTGTTCGTTAATTGTTTCTTGCAGTCATTCAGATGAGAAATCTCATACCCGTGTCAAATACAAAATGCTGTTGCACGCCAATTTTCAGAATCATTGAGATGCTAAATACTATTGCATGCCACCTTTCAAATATTAAATATTTAATTTAATTTATGGAACTTGTATCCTGCTTTTTGGCCAGTGACAACCCCCCAGCTCACGAAATTTGTAAAACACAACTGCTATTATTAATAATATTATTATATAGTAATAATTAAATGTTATCAAACTAAATACCATCATATGTCATTATCAAATGCAGTCAAATATCAAATACTGAACTAAAATATCACAGGATGACAAATGTTTGGTGAATGCTCAGTAAAGACTCATATATTCAGGGAATATCTGGAAAACAGTCGAAAGCAACATTCTCAGAGACCAAATAAATTTTCCCTAAGCAGGTGAAATACCCAGCAACTACTTGGAATCAATTGTCTTGCAGAAGAAAGGGCCTGTGAGCAGCAGTCCAGATAAATCAGTGTGTCTGACAGTGATGCCTGCAAGCCGTATGGGGACTGGGCTCATCATCATGCTGAGAGTCTAAGGCCAAACTCGTATGTGCATTATCCGGCACAAGAATGAAAGAGTAAATCTCCTTTTCTGCTTGGACCTCTATTGCTTCAGAAACCCATCCCAATGTGTAAAACTGCCTTTTTGTTTTTCATATGTGAACACCAGTTTTCCAAGTTGCAGATTTAAATACAGGTCGAGATGAGTGGCTGTGTAAATTTGTCCGTAGCATTTGAAGAAGTCAGCAGCAGACACTCACGAAAGCTCATACCCCACCATAACTTTTGTGAGTCTTTAAGGTGCTAGAGGACTCTTGTTCTTTTCTGTATTTAAATATATTTCACTCACTTACTTCATTTATATCCCACCTTTCAAATATAACTGTTAGTATTTATTAGGTTCACTTACACCCCACCTTTTCCCCCAAAGGGGATCCAAAACAGTTTGCATCACCCTCCACTCTTCCATTTCATCCTTGCAACAACCATATGAAGTAGGTTAGCTTGAGGATGGGTGACTGGCCCAAGATCACCCAGCAAGCTTCCATGACAGAGCAGAGATTCGAACCTGGGTCTCCAAGATTCTAGTCCAACATGCTAACCACTACTCCACACTGATTCCACAAACCTGATCTGAATTTGGCACCACAAGCAATGACATTTGGGGTATAGAGTTTATCTTCCTGAGAGAGTAATGCTAAGCAAATCTCCATAGAAATAAGTTCGCTTGGCCATAGCTTGGAGGAATAGAATGTATTTTCCATGGCAAATGTCCTGGGTTAAATCTCTGGCAGATTCAGTTAAATAGATCTTAGATTATAAAGCTGGGAAAGACCTCTGTTTGAAACCCTGGAGAGCCACTGCCAGTCAGAACAGCCAAAGCTGGGCTAAAGGTAAAGGTTTCCCTTGCTCGAAAGCTAGTTGAATCTGACACAAGGGGGCGGTGCTCATCTCCATTTCCAAGCCGAAGAGCCAGCACTGTCTGAAGACGTTTCCGTGGTCATGTGGCCGGCATGACTAAACACCGAGGTGCACGGAACACTGTTACCTTCCCACTGAAGTGGTACCTATTTATCTACTTGCAATTTCTTTCTTTCAAACTGCTAGGATGGCAGGAGTTGGGGCCAGAAATGGGAGCTCACCCTGTCACGTGGCACTAGGGTCTCAAACTGCCAAGCTACAGAGTTATTTGGCATAAGGCAACTAGCTAGGTTTATAGTGCAGAATTCCAGTATTTCTGGGGCACTGTGTTTTCTTTCCGCTATATCAGGGATGACCAACTGGTGGCCCCTGGGTCTTATTGAGCAGCCAAGGCAAATTTTATATAGTAGCCCTTGGCAACCATGCTGAAGTTTAATCATGGTATGGCAAAATGTTTGCCTGCCTTTTCACCAGTAACATAGCAAACACAATATAGGTCCCCTTCCCCCCCCCCCGATGTAAGTGGTATATAATATGGAAATGTACTTATTTACCCTTTATGCTCTACTGTGAAAAGGACGAACTAGTAGAAAGAACTTTTTCTCCCCTCTCCCATAATACTAGAAGTTGAGTTTGACTGATTAAATTGATTCAGGAAAGCACTTTTCACACAATGTTCATGGGACTCCTTGCAACAAGGAGAGGTGATGGCTGTTAGCTTAGATAGCTTTAAAAGGAGATTCAAAAAAATTGTGGAGGGGGAGAGGCCTGTCAATAGCTACGATCATGGCTCTTTTTGTAGAAAAAGCCCAGCAGGAACTCATTAGCATAATAGGCCACACCTCTGACAGCACAGCTTATTAGCACATTAGGCCACACCCATGTGTTACCAGAAGTGTGGTCATCCAGCCACACCCACCTTTTGCTTCTTATTCTGTTTACCTTGTTTGTTGTCAAAACCCAGGGCCTTTTTTTTGTAGCAGGAACTCCTTTGCATGTTAAGCCACACACCGCTAATGTAGCCAATCCTAATGAGTTTCTGCTGTTGGGTGTGGCCTATTATGCTAATGGATTCCTGCTGGGCGTGGCCAACTTGGGAGCCAGCCGGAACTCCGTTCCTGTGCGTTCCTGCCCAAAAATAGCCCTGGCTACGATAGCCAAATGGATCCTTCACTATTCAGTGACAGTGTGCCTGACAACTAGCTGCTGAGAATTAAATGGGAGGGGAATGTTGCTGCTCTCATGCTCTGTTTGTGGACTTCCTAGAATTGTCTGCTTGGTCATTGCACACTGTTTAGAGATGACAAACTGGTCCAAAACAGCAGGATTCTTCTTACATTCTTATGTGCTCAAATAGGACCAAATTGATTATGGAGCCCCACCCCCTGTACAGAAATAGAATGACCCTTGCCATTACAGCAGTTGGCTACCCCAACACAATGTGGTTATGTTTTAGTCATGCAATGCTTGCTTGGGAGAAATTCCCATCTGGATGCATCCTAAAAAGAGAAAGGCAGTGAGTCCCCAGCACTTCACCCCAAGCAAAAAAAAATGTTTCAGACAATTAAGAAACAAATTACACTACCTGATGACTTCTCCCTAGATCTCCATCCTGTAGTCCCTCCCCTGTGAAGAAGAAGAAGAAAAAGAAGAACTCAAAGAAACGAAAAAGACACAGGTATGTCTGCTCTGGTATTTTATTCTGCGTGGCTCCAGACTTTGTTCCAGCTCTGAAAGATCCATCATCAGAAGAGGGAAATTATTTTAATGCAAGAGACTGTAGTTACTTCTGAATTTTAATGATCAAAGTTAATGTTTGGCAGAATACTTGGGTCTAATCCACCAACCCAGTCTAGAAAGCAGGGGGGGAGGGTGGACTTTGGAGGAAAGATGCTTTTTGTTGATCCTAGCTGCTTCCACATTAGAACACTTTTGCCCTGCTCAGATATTCCTTTGCTGCAATCAGTGGCAAGCATGATTGAAACCGGGGTTTCACACAGCAATTAAGGTAGTGAGAAATTTACACAAAGTACAGCAAGTTGCACTCTCACCAGTGTTCCCTCTAAGCTGAGTTAGTGGCCCCGGTCACACGGGAGGCTTTGATCTGCGAGAGGGACAGATCGGGGGCACATCAAGTGGGCGCAATCACACCACAACATCTGGGAAGCGTCGCGGACCCGTCCCCGATCCGTCTCTTCTGGTCGAAGATGCGGATTAAAAAAACCCTACAAAACACTACTACTTACCAGAAAATCCGCAGCAGTGGCGGCCGTGGGATCGCCAGCGCGCTCGTCTCCAGCAGCATGTGAGGTCCCCTGCCAAACTGCACAGGCGCACACATGTGCAGCGGGCTCTCCTCGGTCATCCATCTGTGGCTTCCCCCCGGCATCTGATCATGCCAGGGAGCAACTGCGTAGCGGTTTGGGGGATCTGTCTGATCCCGCCGCCGCGCTTCTCTTTCGATGCGGCTCAAAAAAGCCGCACTTCAGCCGCACCTTTTCCCCCAGTGTGACCGGGGCCAGTGTGAGCTAGCTCACAATTTTTTAGCCTCTGGCTCACGCATTTTTGTCCTGGCTCAGGAAGGATGGCTCCAGAGTAAACTAATTTGTGCAGCAGCCAAATTGCTCGTTCACAACTTTAATGCCAGTAGCTCCCCAAGTAGAATTTTTGCTCACAAGACTCCACAGCTTAGAGGGAGCATTGCCTCTCACATATATTTACTTGGAAGTAGGTCGCATTCAATAAAGTTTCTTCATCACCCTGCAATTTTCCATTTGTGCTTAGAGACTACCTATAGCCCCAGTATTCCAGTATCAATATTTAATTATAAGCTCTTGTGGGAGAGGGGAGTACTGATCTCCACATTGTAGTCAAGTCAAATGTTCATTATTTTTCTTAGACTTTTGTAGAAGCACTACTACATAAAAATAAAATACAAAGTGGCTTTGGCTGCAAAGTGAAAAGCAATGTTAAATTATCTCTCCACCAATACAAAGAATTGATAATCAACAATTGATATAGGTATGCTAATGAGAGTGGGAGGTAGTTAATTCCAATGAAAGAAGGAAGAGAAGAAAATGTAAAGGGAGAGTGGCACTGAGAAACTTCAGTAGCCCTTTGACTAGCCTGGGGCTATGATTGCATTTTATGTAGCACGCAGAAGGAGAAAAAATCAGGTTTGAAAAAAGATGAGAGGACAAGAAAGAGACACTGGGTTGCCAGACGTTGCCAGCATGTTATCTGGATTCTCCATTCAATTGAGTGACTAAATTATGGCAATTCTGGGAATCCTGCAAGGAATTCTTTTTTTGTGCCTAAACACTTTCTGACTTTTATAGTGATGCACATCCTGATTTGTTGCCCATTTGCAGATTTTTATTTTCAATTTTCTTGCAGGTTATCTTCAAAGAAGAGAAGACACAGGTAAGGACACTGGAGGCTTTGGTCATTACTTAAAAGCAAACTAGAGAACTTACATGCAGCCATCAGCGCAAGTAATTTTTCCCAGTGGAGCAAATAGTGGCCCTCTGGGGCTGTTTCAAGTAGAGAAAACAGACCAACAGGGAAAACTTAAGCCCTCATGTCCCAATGCAAATCAGGCTGCCACAAGCCTGAGAGTTCATTTTCCAGTGCCATCAGTGAAGCAACTCCCTGGGGCATTTCATGTCAGGAATACTGCATGGGAAGTTTAAGCCTCCTGCCCATGCTGTGTGTTCCCAGTCCAAATCAGGAGATCTGCACTGGGAACTCCCAGACTGCTGTATTAACCATCATTGTGAACTTTATAACCTGTGAACTGGCCCCTATATTAACATCTAGAGATTCAGAAGAAGGGGGTGAACCCTGAATAATGACAATTCTAGCACCTTACATCATTTAACAAGTGTGTTCCAAAAGGTGGGGGGTGACAGTGATTTACCAGAGCCTAGGACCAGAAAACAGGGACTGTGCTTGGTAAATAGGGACACTTGGAACAGATGTCATTTTTGAAAGCAGAGTATGTGTTGTGTTCATGTACCCAAATGACCATTGTACGCAAACAAGCTTTGTGATCCTCCCACAATGGTGATGCATTAGAGCCTTTAAGTTGCTCATTGAGTAGAATGGCGGCCTACCAATTAATTGGCTCTTTTTTATTTAGTTCCTCAAGCCCCAAAAGCAAAAGGAAGGAAGAAAGAAAACACAAGAAACAGTAAGTAGGGGGGCATGTGTGAATGCATCAGTGCCCCTTGGCTAAACTGTGCATTTGTTCGTGTGCATGGGGATTGGCTAGCATAATTGTTAGACCCTTCTACTGATGTTTGTTTTCTTTACTTATCTTGTGAATGAAGCTGGTGCAAGGTAGTGGAACAAACCTGCCATGTTAGCTTGAGGTGTGAGACGGCATTTGTTTTTGAGCTCGTGATGGCAGTGACAGCTAGGGCAGTGTCCAGCACTTTGGGTTCAGCACTTTTTAAAAAAAATTAAAAATTGCTATAACACTCTAGCACTCTAACAATTATCACTTATTTTTTAAAAAACAAAACCCTAGTGATGCCACAGGGGAAATGGCAGTCATGAGGAACTGTCAGGCAGGAGCAGAAAAGAGCAAGAGTCTAGTAGCACCTTAAAGACTCACAACATTTGTGGCAGGGTATGAGATTTCATGAGTCACTGCTCACTTCTTTAGACACCAAGGCAGAAGAACGCATAGAAGCTCCCATGAGGAATCTCCTTTGTCAATATGCATGGTTCTGCATTTCTATTTGTGATGCAAACAACATGGGGAATCCTTGCCATATGGATGCAACCAGTTAGGACTATGAAGTTACACTGCTCAGCAGGACATTGTCAGTTTGGAGGCTGATAGCTGAATGGGTCTGCCCTCCCGGGCTTGGCCTAAAGTGCTATGCTTTATGGAGAACCAGAGCCTATGACAAAAGAATGCTAATTTTTAAAAGAATTGTAGAGGTTCGGTAGGTGAGCTTTGATTATTAGGAAGTGGCTGTGGCCAAGCACCCATGAGGGCCTGGAAGAGGCGACCCCTGCCAGCTGAAGGGAAGGAGAAGATTGGTGGTTGTATGTGAAGAAAAGAGCAGTTGGGATTCTGCAAGAGAAAAAGTAAAGAGCAGACAGGATCTCCCTATCTGCCTCCCTCCATTCATCCCTCCCTCCCTCTCTTTCTCCCTGTCCCTCTCCAGCTCTCTGGGGATCTGATAGCCTATAGGGATGTGCCTCTATGCTTCTACCTGTGGTCTGCTTATATATTTGTAAATAAGTGTTAGAAAAATGCCATTTGTTTCAAGAGCTCTTTCCTCCAAAGGGAAATAGCCAAGGTGAACTCCACCCCTGGAACTTCTTCCCCATCCTAAGGCCCTTCAGCTGATGAGAGTGACCATAAGACCATAAGGCTAACTAATGAGTTCATGCTAGGGGCTCTCTCTAGAAAGAATGATCCTAGAAATTTCCACACTCCTCTTATTTAAACCTTTCTCAACTGATGGTTTATACTATTTGATGGTGGAAAGTGCCATCATTGCTGTCAACTATTGGCAACCTGCTAATGTTTTCAAGGCAAGAGACAAACAGAGGTGATTTGTCATTGCCTGCCTCTGCCTAGCAACCATGAACTTCCTTGGTGGTCTCTCATCCAAGTACTAACTAGGGGTCACTCTCCTGAGAGAGTCTGAGAGCTGATGAACTCAAACTAGCTCGACCACCCAGGTCAGGAGAATACTATTTACTCAATTAAAAAACTATGAAAAAAATACAATGCAACAAAAAGAAAACAATGCAACAGAACAACCCTCCCATCCCAACCATATATCAAAAATAATGTGAAAGTAGAAATTGACAGCTTACAACAGAGAGGCGTTGATTAGGGATGGGCACTAACCAGGAAAATGGAGGTTTGGTTCGTGAGGTTCATAGTTCTTCCCTCCCTCCTTTGTTTATTATTTATTTATTTTTGAGATTTTTATTTTGTCCTCCCCAAAGTGGGCTCAGAGCGGATCACAAAAAAACGAGTACAAGACTCGTTACAATAAAATCACATTAAAATCATGAAAACAATAAACAATAAAATTGCACAGTTAGCAACAATTTCATATCAATCTGTTGGGGGCACAAGATGGAATCAAATGGCCCTTTCAGCGAGTTGAGAACTAGAACATGGAGGCCAACTGAAATGGACACCTGCCACCTCACCCAAAGGCCTGGCACCTTCATTTTCCAGGCCCTGCAGAATGGTAGAAGGTCCTGCAGGGCCCTGATCTCCAATAGGAGCTGATTCTGCTGGCAGCGACTCCCCAAGGCCAGCAGAATGAAAGGGGGGAGGGAGATCTTGCAAAAGCATTTAAAGGGCCGTTTCAGCCATCCCTTTTGCTCCTCCCCCCCCCCCCACTTCCAAGTGAGAGGGAATAAAAGGGATTGCTGAAATCACTTCCAGCTGGGAAGGCATTTTAACTGCCTTCTCAGTTGACTCACTGAGTCATGCCACCACAGTCTCTTTAAATGCCTTCTCCAAGCCCCGCCCCCAGCACCAGCATGTCTGCCGACATGAACTACATGAACCCACCTGGTAGGTTCATGGGGGATCGTGAGGGCAGGATGGCACAAGCCGAGGTTCACAAACCTCGAACCAGACC